AGATTGCGCACAAATCTAACGAACGGCCGAGCCTAGGCCTCGTTGATATAATCGGTCAGGTATTTATGCATCATGGCAGGAATGAAGCCATCAAACTGCTGCGAATATGTGAGCGTGAGCGTCAAGTGAGCACAGGGCAGATTTCTTAATTTTCGACGTCGACATGTTCTGACGAGCGATGAAAAAGCTTTTTATTCAGCGGTGACCTAAGCATTTTTTATGGCTTTGAGTTAAAGAACCATAAATGTACTTTCTGCCTGACAGGCCGAAGAGTAAGGTGTCGGATAACCTTTTTGACCCTCAAGAGGAGCGTTAAACACTCAGTACGTTCGTTACTGTCTGCTCTAGAAAGACAATGAAAATGACTGCCAGGTTTATGTTCAACGCGTAAATCATACATGCCTGGATGCCTATGATCGCTCGTACAATCTCACACTGAAATTTGCAAAAAGCAAATTGCTTGAAAGAAGAACGGTCCCCGCATCCTTAAATTGTATAAGTGTCTATGCATTCTGTACTGTCGTAGTGTTTACAGTTAACGTATTGCCACTCAGTGGCATTTTGTGTGGTGTGTACTGTGTGTGTTTTGCCTGGCCGTGAATTAGGCTTACACGGTTGCCCAGCCTCCTCATTTTCAGGCCCTGCTAGGCTGCTCAGACGTAAAAGTGAATGGATTAGCTGCCCTTACCTATTTCTGTCTGCCAAATATTTGTGCTACTATGACCAGGGCGAGCTTCCAATCCTTTAATCTGAGACACGTCAAACGTACGCGCCACTCCGCTGGCAACTTCAAACGATCCCAACTGAACATTCCTTGAGAACGTCTCTTGATACCGATCCCTGTGCCTTCCACGTTTCGCGTGTCATGCGAACACATTTGACTAACCCAGGTTACTAGAATTCCCACCACTTCCCACAGAGTCACCGCAGTAGACCTTAGACCCGCGAGCGCTGTCCGTCCGCGCACATTGTATTCCAATATATATAGGCTTTAATTTTGTTGTTGTCTCATGATTGACTGTAGTAAAAGATATAAGT